AAACAGACCTTTTGTCTTGCTCGCACTCACTTGGTAGATGCGCCTGCGCATAATGACGCTCGACCATCTATGCCCATATTTGGACTTCGTGCGTCTCCCTTTCTCGGGCCTCGTGCCTCTCATTGCGAAGATACGCGACTAGCAATATAGGAGTATTACATATATGTACTACAGGGACTTTAGACACAGTTAGGAATTTGACAAAACATGGCGTCGGAAACGATCAAGAAACAATCGAGTCATGTTACGAGTAAGCATCGCAAAGACAGAAAATACATGTAAGTATAGTATAAACTTTTTTGTCTACAGTTTGAAAAAATTGTATTGATTCTGCTGGATCGGAAACATGTGATGCTAATGTTAAGTTTTCTAAATTAGTACGTTTAAGACGTTTTATCGCGAACATTATTTTTTTGTTAATGCAGCAACTTATAATTATTTTTATAAAATGGAAATTATTACAAAAAGATATTTACCTTATATTAAAAACAAAAATTATAACTTAATAAAATTTTTCATTGGAAAAATGGCTAACATTCGTTGTAATGCATTAGGAACTTGCAATTTATTTAATAAAATTATGAAATATTACATTTCACTTCGAATAAAAATTGATTGTAAGAAAGGTAGATTAAAAAATGAAATTTATAATACTAAAACTATGGCACGACATGCTATTATAAAATAAGTAAAAAAATAATATTAAATAATATTTTAAATAATATTTGTATTTTTATTAAATATTATTTTACTATTAATACTATTTGTATTTTTATGTGTTTATTGTATGCATATACTTGTATTTCATTGTATTTTTATATATGAAATAAAACGTAATAACGAATTTATCTTCTTATATTGTTTTATATATATTCTATTCTTATAGCCTGAGCACAATAGAGAAAATATTAGGAATAAGAATTAGAAATGAAAGTTAAATGTACTATACAAAAAAAAATGTATTTAAATAGGCTGTATATCATGCAACCATGACATACTTCCTGTATTTATATGTTATATTTTAGTTTTTTGCATTGTGCATTACATTTAACATTTGTTTTTAATTTCTATTCCTAATAAGTTTTTTATTCTGCTTGTAACGATGCTAATCGTTACGGCCGGGACCGACCATCCGTCTCGGCCCAAACACGGCGCATTGCGTTTAATAAAATATATCAAATTCTTGCGTGACAAACAATTTGTTGTTTACCGCGCATTTTCTCAACCCCGCCCCGCGGAAAACGGCGAGTATAAAAGCTGGGCCCAAAAGCGAAGTGCTCAGATCCGCCTGATCTCCGAATCCATAGCGAGAAGCACCTGGGGAAGCTCTTCCTCGGTCGGGCAAACCGACTGCAACTCACGATTCGATCCTCACCGGGAGAAGAAGTTATTTTTCTTTCTGCCGGGTAAACCGGCGTCCGTTCCGCTCCGCTCCGGGGAATCTTGCATTCTCCGCCGGGTAAACCGGCATCTGTTTCGCTCCGCTCCGGGGAATCTTGCATTCTCCGCTGGGTAAACCGGCTTCCGTTCCGCTCCGCTCCGGGAATCTTAGATTCTCCGCCGGGAAAACCGGCATCCGTTCTGCTCCGCTCCGGGGAATCATGCATTCTCCGCCGGGCAAACCGGCCTTCGTGTTAAGCCGTTCCGGGAGTACGTTAATCTCCCCCGATTAAACGAAGACGCCGCTGTAGCGGAAAAAGCCGACCGCACGCCGGCCTCATAATCGCGACAGCGAGATATCAATTTCCGGGAAGAACGATTAAATCAGCTCGTGAGAAAGCGTATTTCTCGACCAAAGTCACTTTTTCGTTTTCCTAGTTTTAAAACTCACTTTTCGCGCGAAAACTCACTTGTCTTAAAACTCATTTTTCGAAACTCACTTTTCAAGATTTCCTTTGTAAAACTTACGTTGTAAATACTTTCTTTTATTTCTTTTTAAAATAAACACATATTATTCTTTTTGTTAAATCATAACCGAGTCTACTCTGATTACTTTACCTTAACCGAGCCCTGATCCCGACGAGCTACTCCGCAGGTTTAATAATTAACTAATTAAGACGAGAAAAGCTTCGACGAAAAAGTCGAACCGTTACATGCTCAACCCTTATATTGAATAATACCGCGCGTGAAGTATAAATTTAAGATATCTTATTGGTTCTGCCACATTTTGTCACAACCAATAAGATTGAAGACAACTGTGTCCATACCATAGACTTATGTATATAATAGACGGAACATTCATGTAAGAGGAGCTGAAGCTTCGTTAAAAGAGACAGAAATAGTCGTGGAGTAGTTCTCTTCTTTTCTAGCAGTGAGTTGATTGGTGGCCGCGGCAGGCCGAGGGAGTGGCCGAGAGCAACAAAGATAGAGTTCGAGAGTCAATTGAGAGAGAGTAATAGCATGCATAGACTTGTGAGAGACTTGGCAGGCGCTGTTATAAATCGGTTTGAAAATGAAAAGGTAAAAAGTGATATAATTAATGATGGTGCGATCTTGCTGTATTTGCAAATTGGAATATGGTGTTCGAAGTGATGTTTCTTTCCATCAGTAAGTGAAACTCAATTGAAAATCAATTTATGGAAATTTGTAGTTAATATATCTTTATAAGTATATCTTTAGTAAAGCAAATAATATTTATTTTTTATTTTTTGTTGATTTGATTGGTAAAATAATAAAAAATGTAGCTTTTTATTAAGTAATACGTCTTTTTAAATATCTTTCAAAAATATGTAATATGTTAATTTTATATGTTAATATTTTATATGTATGTTTATATGTATATTTTATACGTATATTTTATACGTATATTTTATATGTATATTTAGTGTTCCTCAAAAAGACGAATTGAGAGAAAAGTGGATCAGTATAATAGAACATCAAGTTCCTAAAAGCAGTTCTGTTTGCAGTAACCATTTCACAGACACTGACTTTAGATATAAGGTAATAAAAGATGTGCCAAAAAGATACTTACTACCTGATGCTGTTCCCAGTTTACTTCATCCGATACAACAAACAATGATACTTACAAGTAGTAAATCGTTACGTGAAAAGAATACTGAACAAGCAGTTGATAACAGGTAAATAAAAATGCACTTGATCTATTAATTTCATCTGTACTATTTGTTAAAATTGTAATAAAATATTACAATAATTTGCAGTGATACTAATGATAAATATCCTATATCAGAGGTTGATTCAAAACAATCTGCTGTTTCCAGTCCAGCAGCATTAATTAATGAAGATTCACTAATTAATAAAGATTATGTATCATTAAAAAGGTAACACAAAAAACATTTTTCGCTAATCTAATTTATTTCTTTATTTGTAATTATGCATTTTGAAATATATTTTTATAGGAAAAACACGAAATCTGCAAATCCAATTGCAAAGCGTTTCTGCCATCCCCGATTTATCGGAGATCTTTGCCGTGAAGATTTTACTTCTCGTGAAAGTTAGGAAGTATTTGAAAAGTTTTGTTATTTAAATAAGACTAAGCTAAAGATTCTAAATCAAAAAGTGACGCGGCTAAAAACTAAGGTGGAAAGCATGAAGGACTTACTGAGACACTTATAACAATAAGTATTCATTAATATAAATAAGAAATATTTTGTTTGTAAGTACATATTTTTTTAAAGTTAAATAAAAATATTTTTAAGCATATGTATATAAAACTAAAATGGTTATTTTTTTATAATTCTTCTTTATTTATATAAAAAACACTAATACTTTGCAACCTTTTTATAATTTAATTTACTTTATACTTTTATCTTGTCTTGTATATAATTTTTTTATTATTTTATTTCTGTTTTTAAAGAGAAACAACAACAGTTGGTTACACTAAAGCATAAACAACTGTGTTAATTAAAGATAGCTTAATTTAGAGAAAATTTAAGTAAAAAAATATGTTAAATTCTATAATGTAACATATTTTTTCTTACTTAAATTTTCTCTAAATTAAGCTATCTTTAATTAACAACAGTTGTTTATGCTTTAGTGTAACCAACTGTTGTTGTTTCTCTCTAAAAACATAATAAAATAATAAAAAAATTATATCCATACACAAGACACGAATCTTTATAACCTCTCGAGCTCCTCTCAAGTCACAAGTAATAGCCTTTTACGTCTAAGCATAGACTTATACAGGGTGTTTCAGAACTATGGGATCAAACTTCTAGGGGTTATTCAGTGCAACAGTAGAAAACATTTGAGTATAGGGACCCATGTCCGGAAAAGTGTCACTACCGCACTACGGCCCTAAGACGCGTTAAAATTTAGAAAGACGATGAATTGCCTA